CATTGTTCAGTGTCAGCGAACGACTAGCCGCCTTCCGCAACATGCGCCCATCGCTGTCCTGACGCGCCACGGAGTTGATCCGAAATCTATTCCTGGCCGGACCCTGGGCTTCATGCAGCCTTTCAATCGAATTGCTGGGTTACCGTGCGGCGTGGCAAAACCTGAGGGTTCCGCTGGCCTCTCTGCGGTGCGAGACGTGTGGCTGACAACTGGTCCTGGAGGATGGACCCATGGCTTCGCTAGCCCCTCGTTTTACCAGGAAACGGAAAATATTCAGTGACTGCGTTTGCAAACAGAAATGCCGGCACATGACCGCAGCCCCACTCAGACCCAAAGACTTGGAAGAGGCCTGCATTTCTCCAAGAACGGTGAGTGCAGGGGAATGAAACCTGTAGAGCCTGTCCTTTGCTGCGTTGCGCGTGGCCCCTGCATATGGAAAAGGAATAGACACGCACGCGCCGGTCAAACTTGAGCGAAGCGAGAACGAAAGCATTGTGCGAGAGACAAGTGAATGCAATGCGCCAGCGGGCAGCAAGCGACGGAAGCGCAAGAGAGTGCGAGGTGTTTTGCTACCGCATCGGTGCGGCAATGGCCCCGGCGTCGCGCAGGAGCCGTTGCGTGACGCAGGCCCGGGCCGTTTCGCAGCCCAGGCGCTGCAACTGCTGGTCTAGCGAATGCAAGCGCGCAAAAACTTCAACGGGAGGCCCCGAACGAGCCCCGAAAAGCACAGAATCGCGACGGGAACCGCCGAAAAGCGCCGATTTGGTGCGAAAAGTGTTCGGGCTCTCCCGTTCCTGGAGATTCAAACGTCAAGGAAGTCCTAGTCATTCTCGGCATTGACCCTGTTTTGGACGCAAACGCCCGCAAATTACCGCAAGCGCCTAGAAACAGGAACCGCCCGCAAATTGCCGCAAAACGCCCGCAAAAAAAGGGGCAAACGCTCGCAAAAACTCACAAAAAAAAAACGCAAAACGCCTAAAACGCTTAAAACGCCTAAAACACCTTGAGAACCAGAACGCGTAGGAATACCTCGGCATTGGAATCTCCAGGTTGCCGTTTCGGGCCGTCGGCCGGCAAGCGCACAAAACTGCGCCGGGAAGCCCCGAACACGCAGATTCGCTAGGGGAGCCGGGGAGCCCGCGGCACAGTGGTTCAAGCAAGCGGCTTTTGCGCAAAGGTCGGCGGCTCGAGCCTGGGCCGCCGACAACGAGGCCCGAAACGCGCAGATTCGCGACGGGCGCCGAAAAGCGCCAACCGCTCGTTCGGGCTCTCCCGTTGCCGCTTCAGGCCGCGGCCGGCAAGCGCGCAAAAACTGCAAAGGGAGGCCCAGAACGAGGCCAAACGCATTTCGGGCCGCCGGCCGGCAAGCGGTGCAAAAACTGCAACGGGAGGCCCAGAACGAGGCCCGAACACAGAATCGCGACGGGAGCCGCCGAAAAGCGCCGATTTGGTGCTCTGGAGCCTCGTTGGGCTCTCCCGTTGCCGTTTCGCCAGCAAGCGCACAAAACTGCGCCGGGAGGCAGATTTGCCACGGGAGCCGGGGAGGCCGTTCGTGGCGCAGTGACTGCAACGGGAGGCCCAGAACGAGGCCCGAAACGCACAGAATCGCGACGGGAGCCGCCGAAAAGCGACGATTTGGTGCTCCGGCCTTGCCGTTTCGGGCCGCCGGCCGGCAAGCGCGCAAAAAGCAACGGGAGGGCCAGAACCCGAAACGCCCGAAAAGCGCCGATTTGGTGCTCCGGTCGGGCTCTCCCGTTGCCGTTTCGGCAAGCGCGCAAAAACTGCAACGGGAGGCCCAGAACGAGGCCCGAAACGCACAAAATCGCGACCTCCCGCCGAAAAGCGCCGGCTGGACCGGAGCCTTGAGGCCCAGAACGAGGCCCGAAACGCACAGAATCGCGACGCCCGAAACACGCAGATTCGCCACGACAGCCGTGCCCGCGGCGCAGTGGTTCAAGGCAGCGGCTTTTGCGCATCGGCGGCTCGAGCCGCAACGGGAATCGCCGAAAAGCGCCCATTTGGTGCTCCGGAGCCTCGTTCTCTCCCGTTGCCGTTTCGGGCCGCAGAAGCGGCAAGCGCGCAAAAACTGCAACGGGAGGCCCAGAATCCGGCAAGCGCGGAAAAACTGCAACGGGAGGCCCAGAACGAGGCCCGAAACGCACAGAATCGCGACGGGAGCCGCCGAAAAAAGGCCGGCAAGCGCGCAAAACTGCGCCACGCAGATTTGCCACGGGAGCCGGAAAGCCCGTGGCGCAGTGGTTCAAGCAAGAACTGCAACGGGAGGCCCACGACGAGGCCCGAAACGCACAGACGCGCAAAAACTGCAACGGGAGGCCGACAACGAGGCCCGAAACGCACAGCATCGCGACGGGAGCCGCCGAAAAGCGGCAATTTGGTGCTCCGCGGCCTCGTTCGGGCTTTCCCGTTGCCGGCCGGCAAGCGCGCAAAAACTGCCAGCCGGCCAGCGCGCAAAAACTGCAACGGGAGGCCCAGAACGAGACCCGAAACGCACCAAATCGCGACGGGAGCCGCCGATTTGGTGCTCTTGAGCCTCGTTCGGGCTCTCCCGTTGCCGCTTCGGGCCGCCGGCCGGCAAGCGCGCGAATCTGCACAGATTCGGACCGGCAAGCACGCGGGAGGCCCCAAACACGCAGATTCGCCACGACAGCCGTGCCCGCGGCGCAGTGGTTCAAGCAAGCGGCTTTTGCGCAAAGGTCAGCGGCTCGAGCCTGGGCCGCGCGCGGCGCTCCGGAGCCTTGTTCGGGCTCTCCCGTTGCCGTTTCGGGCCGCCGGCCGGCAAGCGCGCAAAAACTAGCGCGCAAAAACTGCCAGCCGGCCAGCGCGCAAAAACTGCAACGGGAGGCGCAAAAACTGCGACGGGAGGCCCAGAATGAGGCCCGAAACGCTCATGTATTTTGCGCAAAAGAGTTGCAACGGTACAGGCTGTAGCGTTTCAAACCGGTCAGCTTTACAGGCAAGTCCCAGCCCCCCATTCCGCTTTCAACAATTTTTGGCCCGAGACATTTGGGCCCGCCCCCCACACCCCCTGATTGCTAAGCAAAGCTTAGGTTGATAAGACAGCGAAGCGTAGGCATGGGCTGCCACTGAAAGCGTGTCCGAGCCAAGGGTAGCAGGGCGAAGCAGAAACAAACTGCTTAATTAGCTTCTTTGTTTCTAGCATCTGCATCAGTACAACCAAAAAAGATCATTGAACATTGAACATCCTAACTTTGGGACGAACGGGCTTCCTGTGCACGGCGCACTATGCAATAGGTCTGCAGAGCGGCCCCCACATTGAAGTCGCCTTCGCCCGTATCAGAATTGGGGTATCCCAACAGATTCGTTTCTTCTTTTGGTTTCCAGTACAAGCGCCTCAATAAGGGTACCCTCATCATGGGCCCCAGATAGCATACCACGGCTACGAACCATGACGCAGCATCGTAATGGCTCCACCTGCGCCATGATGATGTACAGCCACGGAGGATTGCGCGCTTCATAGATGCACAAACAATGTGCTGCGTGCTGGTGACGTTGGCAGTTGACAGCATCATGCTGATACACCAGCCACGAACCTTTACGCGGGACGTCCTGGTGAGTCCGACAGCATCATGATGATGCGAACAGCATCATGATGATGCAGCCAGCATCGTCACGACACAGCTACAAACCCTCTTGTGACATCGTGCTGAACTTCGGCAAAATCATGCTGATGTTGACAGACTTCCAGCATCACCATGGTATGGTTGGCGCCATGATGTTCCACCAGCCACGAAACACTACGACGACATCCCAATGGGTTCAACAACATCATGATTATGCAGGGTACAACCACGAATCAGCGCCCCCCTAGCTTAAGCCCGTCAAAGTGGGCCCCAAGTACCCCGCAGCACCTGCACGCCAATCTTGCCAAAATGCACCCACGCCGTCATCAGCACCTCCAACAGTACCTGACCATCACCCAAAACTGCATGCCACCTATAGCACCCGCTGCAAACTTGGCATCAAAAAGCAGCCAAAAGCAGACTGCGCCAACACCACAAACTGCGTGCTTTTTAGCACCCTGCCGTTAACCCGCAAAAATGCGCCGGCACCGTGGCCAGCACCTACAGCACTTCCACCAGCTCCCCAAACCGCATATCTCGCAAAAATGCGCCTGCACAGTGAACATCAACTACCCCAAAGCTTGTGTTCTTTTTTTGGCGTTTTGCAAAGTCAACGGTAGTTCCTGTTCAGACTTTCCGCCCCAAAGCCGCAAGTTCATTGTCAGCAACCACCTCCCAGCTTCCGCAACACGCTCCCATCAGTCCTTAAATGCCACGGATTTGATCCGGAATTGGCGTGGCTGAGTTGGAGTCATATCCGCCCACACACGGGCTGACGTACTGCATCCAAGCCCGGGCGCCGAACCATACCCAAATCTGGGCATCGGGCGGCGCAGGAAAACATGTTGCAAAACTGGCATCTTGCACGGGAAGAACATTGAGCTCGTTTTTAGTTGGCATCTCAAAGCTCCCACGTCTGATCCAAGTTTTCCTAGCCGGACCCTAGGCCCTAGGCTTGCGCCTTTCAGCCGAATTACTGGCACCGGTGCTGCGTGGCAAAATGTGAGGGGTTCCGCTGGGCTCTCCGCGGTGCGAGAATTGTGGCTGACAACTAACATTCTGAAAAACCAGCTCGAGGAACCTTCTCTTGACAGGACCCCTTGAAACTTGGCTGCGTGCTAACTTGCAAGGGCGGATAGCTATGCCTGCCACTGCTGCTGCAACCCTCATATTCAGAGCTTCCCTGCTCGTGGTTTGCTAGCCCGCCCATCTCCAAAGGGTGAAATTACCATGAATACAAGAACATTCACCCTTCACCCTTGACGTGTTTTTCTGAAAGGGCCTTGCGCAACCTTCAAGTCACACGCGCCTGAACAGAAAGGCCGGCGCATGACCTAGAAATAATAACGCCAGCATAGACCCCAGATAGCAAAAAACCGAGCGGGCCCTTTCCGTGGTCTATGCTATAGGCCTGACTGGCGCCCGTGCTCGGAGAATATCCAGAATGGGCCCCGTGTCGAAGTCGCCTCTGCCCGGCCAAAGGCGACTGACTGGGAAGCATGGGTATGTATCAAAATTGAGGGACCCCAAGAATTGCGGCTTTCCTTCGCAAGGGCACCCTCACAAAACACACAGTTTTTAATCTAAGACACGGGCTGCGCAATCTTAAAGCCAAGTTACCTACCCTCTTAGGATGAAAAGGGCTGATGCCCAAACGTTTCCTCGGCTGAAGAGTCCATAATGGAAACGGGGCCTTTGGTACCGGTCGCCCTGCGGCCTTCCAAATTTGAGAGGCGGGTGAACGAAAGCCAGCCTAGCCAGCTGTGCGACTCAGGAGTTGCTAGGAATTTCGGACTAGCAATGCTGCATGAACGTCTAGAAACCCCAACTGCACAGGGGGGAATCAAGGATTCAGTCTTGCGAATCGGGCTTTTTAGGGCCCCCCCCAAACCCTGATTAAATCAAGCCATCGTGGGAAGCTCAGCCCCTTAAAAAAAGAAGCTCAAACTTAGAGAACTCCCGCTAGCACAGCTAGCTCTCGTGAAAAGTTGCCTTTGCTTTGGTGGTCGGTCAGCCCAGGTGGTCAACCAAAAAACTCCCACGGCAGTCGATCACAACTAGGGCGACCTCGGGCCACCAGGCGGTCGACCAACCCCGACGACCCAACCTCGGACTGATCAGGTCACCTCTCTAAATCGCCTGTTGTCAGCTGAGAAACTTCTGACCTTTTACTGTCTTCATTCCAAGCAAAAGAGCAGATGCTTGAAGTCCTTACGTAGCTTCCACGTTTGTTCATTTAATGTCTGCGTCTACCATTTCAAGGAACATGCCTCACATCGCCAGCACCACCTTCCAGACCATTAGCATGACCTGTTCTTCTCAGCTAAATAACAGCTCACATGTTCGAAGACCTCGCATAGCGGCCGTATTGATGTACTTCTGCACCCAGCAGTTAACATTTAAAAGAACAACCCCCGCACCTTCGGCATCACCTCTCCACATCGCCAGCATCACCTGCCACGCCCTCAGCATCCTGAAGAACACCTGCCCTGTTGCATCTTTCGTTCGATGCAAAAGCGCAGATCCAAGCCCTCACACAACTGCCGTGTTCATGAAATTCTGCGCTGAACATTCAAAAGGGCACTCCCCGAGCCTTCAGCATCACCTCTGCACATCGCCAATCACAAGCATCACCTTGCACACCCCCCAGCATCGCCAGGTTCTGCACGTTACTCGACCGAGAAACATCGGCCCGTTTGTCTGTTTCTGCCGCATGCGCTTATGAAAGGAGACAAAGGGATACAAGGGCGGCGGGAACCTGTCCAACCTCAACTGGCTTCGGCCAGGATGAAGGAGGAACAGGAAGACAAAGAGAGAGACTCGTGTTTGTTCATGTCTGGTCTACCATTCAAAAGAATACGCCCCCGCACACACCTTTTCTTTGCTGTGTTCTCAGCTGAAAACCGTCGGTGTATTGATTTACGTCTACATCTAACATGTAAACGAACACGCCCCGCACCTTCAGCATCACCTCTCCATTGCCAGCATCGCCTGCCGCACCCTCAGCATCGTGAAGAACATCTGCCCTGTTGCATTTTTCGCTCGGTGCACAAGTGCAGATGTTCGAAGCCCTCAGATAACTGCCGCCGTGTTCATGAATTTCTGCGCCGAACATTCACCGCTCCACATCGCTAATTGCCAGCATCACCTTGTACACCCCAGCACCGCCAGGTTCTTTACGTTACTCCCGTTTGTCTGTTACTGCCGCATGGGCTTACAAGAGGAGACAGAGGGATACAAGGGCGGCGAGAACCTGTCCAACCTCAACCTGCCTGAGGCCAGTATGAAGGAAGAGAAGGAACACAAGTCCATACGTAGATGCCGTGTTTGTTCATGTCTGGTGTACAGTTCAAAAGAATACGCCCGCGCGTTGCAGCCTGTTCTTTGCTTCGTCCTCAGCTGCAAATCATGGTTCGCTGCAAAAGGGTGTCTTGCTGTACTTTTGCATCTAACATGTAAACCTCTCCACATCGCAAGCATCCCCTGCCGCACCCTCAGCATCCTCAAGAAAATCGTACGGTGCAAAAGGGCAGATGTTGAAAGCCCTCATGCTGCCGTGCTCATGAACTTCTGCGCTGGACATTTAACAAGAACCCGTCCAACCTTGACCGGCCTTGCAGTACACATGAAGCCCGTCCGACCTTGACCAGCCTCGCAGCACGTGTGAACGGTATTGCCGCACATAGGAAGGGAGACGAGGGGAGGCAAGGGGTGACAGCGCGGCAAGGAACTGTCCGAGCTTGACCGGCAGCAAGGCAGCAGGAACCTGCACAACCAGCAGCGCATATGAACTGAGGACCTTGGCTGGCCTGCCACACGAAGGGAGACGAGCAGGAGACGCAATTTTATTGGCGCGGAGACGAGACATTGGGAGACAAGAGACGGCGGCAGGAACTCGTCCAACCTCAAGCACACGACAAGGGGAGACAAGGGGAGACATAGCAAGAACCCGCCCAACTGACCATCACATATGGGGAACAAGCAGAGATGAAGCGGCGTGAGCCCGTCCAACCTTGGCCGGCCTGAGAGTGGGCTTGACCAGCCAGCAGTGCATAGAACATAGGAAGGAAGACGGGAGCCTGCCAAGAACCCATCCGAGCTCAACCAGCCAGCACACAGCACGTCTGAAGGGAGAAAGGGGACAAGGAGACAGATTGGCAGGATCCCGTCTGAGCTCGAGCAGCCTGCAGCGCATATGAAGGGGGACAAGAATGTAAGCGGAGACATGCAAGCGGGCCTGACTGCGCATCAAAAAATGAAAAAGAGAGAAGAGACAAGTGGCAGGAATGACGCCTGGCATATGAAGGGAGGGGGAGACAAGGACTATCCTGCAGCACATATGAAGAAAAAAGGAGATAAGGGGAGCGCGCATGAAGGGAGACAAGGGGCAAGGAGAGAGAGTGGCAGGAACCCGTTTGCGTTTGAGGGAGTCAAAGGACAGAGCGTGCAGTATGAAGGGAGACGAGGGGAGGCAAGGGAGACAAGTGGCAGGAACCCGTCTGCGCTCGACCAGAGCTGTACAGTAAACTGTTTGGTGAATGAAATAAACAGGTGCCCGCGTGTGTGACACCACCATCTTGACAAAGGGACCAGCACAGTCTGAAACAACTGCCAGTGAAATCAAGTATAGACGACGGGTGGCCCGGAAACACAATGCGATTGAAATGCCCCAGACTGCCCTCGCGCCTCCCCTCCCTCCAAGTCACAACATGCATCCAACGCAAGTACCATATTTCCCGTAACAATTTGTTGATGGTATAGGAAGAGTGCCTGTCTTGCACATGGGAGAAGCAGAAGAACGAACGACACTTGGGACTGGTACTACGAAGGAGAACAAGGACATGGACACGAGATGAGCTACATGGAGGAGAGTTGGAACGACTACGACTATGACAACAGCTGGGATTGGAATGACAACAGCCACATACTTGGAAAGAAAGCACCACACACACAACATCATGGAACGACCACAGCAAAAGCTTTCAACAATTCTTACAAGAGGACACAACACAACTACACTTCGACATAGCAGCAGCAACACAGAAACAAAGAAACAAGAAGATTGAGGACAACATCACACATTACATCATGTACTCCAACTTCAAGTCATACCACCACCTGCTGATCGACTCAGGAGCATCTACACATGTTTGCCCAAAGGACTACACGCCGGATCTACCACTACGACCTTGTGGAGAACCAGTTCCACAACTCTACACGTTTACCAACAAGAAGATCCCTGTCTACGGCATCAAGTATGTTCCCTACAAGCAGGACAACTTCAGGATCATGATGCCCTACTACGTTTGTAATGTGAAGTATCCTATCCTCAGTGCATCAAGACCACTTGATCGAGGACATGGACTCGACTTCAGTCCACAACACTGCACCATCACACATGGACAACAACAAACACATCTCATCAGACACTCAGGACTCTTCTACCCACGAGCAGAAAAGATCGACATTAACACAGGATACGACATCTACCCAATGACTACAGACAATGCAAAATCCATTGCTGCGATTCAACCTACAGAGAAAGCAAAACAACAACAAGAACAAATGGCACCACTCACGCACACAGACCAAGGACTGCTATGGAAGCACATAACGTTCCACAGTACTCCATGCTCAGAGCAGTCGCGTTGGAGCTAAGACTGAGAAGCTCTTCTGGGCGCGGTGGCACCGCGGAATCGGTCCCCCTCCTCAGGTACGTGAGTCCCCAAAAATTAGTAAGCTTCAGCAGCGAATCACTGATGATCAACAATAAAAGGCAACACGCTACGCATGGCTTGCATCCCAACCCCTGGCCGTTGTTAAAGCACAAGTCGACAGAAACTACAGCGTGACAATGTCCACAAAGCAGTGTCTACTACCTTGGATACTACGACATGCAGCATGGACAGTAAATCGCCAAGTCATCCACTCCGACGGCTGCACAAGCTTCGAACGCCGCTGGGGAAGAAACTACGAGCGAGCAATCGGCGAATTTGGCGAAACACTACTTTACCTTCCACCACAACACGAGAAACTTCCACAAGCAGACCTACGAATGCAGAAATGCATTTGGCTCGGGAAGTTTCCGAACCCGCAGAAACTGCGTCGCAACAGAAGCAGGCGTACAGAAAGTACGAACAGTGCGGAGACTACAACCAGACTTCAAATACGACCTCGCGTTACTAAACAAAGTTTCCGGCACACCTTGGGCGCCACGACGGAACACCTAAAACCCGTCATTCGCAACACGAGCGTTGGACACGCAACTCCAATCATCAGAAAAGACACGAGCTACACAACGCGTCGGCAACAGACAAACGTGACGGACGACATCGTCGCGGAACCTGCAACGAACAACAGCGCACTACGTCACCTATACGACTTCCGTCGACCTCGACGTCACGTTCACGACCACTACCGGATAGCCCCATGGGTACTTCGCCGACCGGACGGCAACATCCACCAC